CCACTCAAGATGGGCCTCCACTCGAGATGGGCCTCCACTCGAGATGGGCCTCCACTCGAGATGGGCCTCCACTCAAGATGGGCCTCCACTCGAGATGGGCCTCCACTCGAGATGGGCCTCCACTCGAGATGGGCCTCCACTCGAGATGGGCCTCCACTCAAGATGGGCCTCCACTCGAGATGGGCCTCCACTCAAGATGGGCCTCCACTCGAGATGGGCCTCCACTCGAGATGGGCCTCCACTCGAGATGGGCCTCATTTACACAGCAATAGAGTTATTTTGTGCCTAATTTGTTCACTTTATATATATAGGTATATGATGATAATTATTTACAACTGTTTACATAGCTCTCTATAGACAACTATGATTTCCTGGTGTTTCAACAGCGAGGGATGGGACTTGTCAGGTCTTGGCAACTTGTGCCTAATTGTCTCTAGCACCACGAGGGCAGACAGGCACTTGTAATTGTCATTTACACTCAAAGTCCACTTATAACTTCCTTGGAACACAAAAATGGGATGACAATGACCATGGCGCATTATTGACTATGTTGAAACAGTTTAAAGAGATATTTGACTGTTTTAGTTCCTGGCGAGAGGTAAGCTCTAGATAGTTTTTGATAACCGAGGTTTAGAGCCATTAGTGACACCTGCTTGTAGGGTCTAAGATCCCTGAAGACCACTTCCATTTCCTTTATGCAAATGAGTTACAGCCGCGCGCGTGTGCGCGCACTCATACATACACCACAGTGTGCTAATTTGCAACTAATCTGAAAGCGCTTGAGTGACCTACGCTTGACTCTGCGTACCCTTGTACCGAACTTGCGTAAATGAAAGTGAATTATACATCTACGATGCGTACCTTTTCCCACCGCTTGTATTTGTATACAAGTAGAGCTTACCACTTATGCACTTAGTCGAAGTGAGTAGGTTTTTCCTGACGAAGAATCCAGATGAACGTGTTTTTATTTTTGTCAACAGAGTTGAAATCAATAAAAGCATCATTAAACAGAAGACTCGGCCGGGGATAGTTTGGATTTTGTTATCTTCTTGAGGTTATCTTGAGGTTATCTTGAGATGATTTCGGGGCTTTAGTGTCCCCGCGGCCCGGTCCTCGACCAGGCCTCCACCCCCAGGAAGCAGCCCGTGACAGCTGACTAACACCCAGGTTCCTATTTACTGCTAGGTAACAGGGGCATAGGTTGAAAGAAACTCTGCCCATTGTTTCCCGCCGGCGCCTGGGATCGAACCCAGGACCACAGGATCACAAGTCCAGCGTGCTGTCCGCTCGGCCGACCGGCTATCAAGTTGACTATTCGAAGCCTTGAATCGAGTCGTGCTTAATGAAATGTTTTATTATAGAAAATGGGAAATGAACTTGACTTGTGTCGGCTGGCGTACATGTTGGACTGGTTGGTACTGGTGTCCCAGGCTGGTGGACTAGTTGGTACTGGTGTCCCAGGCTGGTGGACTAGTTGGTACTAGTGTCCCAGGCTGGTGGACTGGTTGGTACTGGTGTCCCAGGCTGTTGGACTGGTTGGTACTGGTGTCCCAGGCTGGTGGACTAGTTGGTACTGGTGTCCCAGGCTGGTGGACTGGTTGGTACTGGTGTCCCAGGCTGGTGGACTAGTAGGTACTGGTGTCCCAGGCTGGTGGACTAGTTGGTACTGGTGTCCCAGGCTGGTGGACTAGTAGGTACTGGTGTCCCAGGCTGGTGGACTAGTTGGTACTGGTGTCCCAGGCTGGTGGACTAGTAGGTACTGGTGTCCCAGGCTGGTGGACTAGTTGGTACTGGTGTCCCAGGCTGGTGGACTAGTTGGTACTGGTGTCCCAGGCTGTTGGACTGGTTGGTACTGGTGTCCCAGGCTGGTGGACTAGTAGGTACTGGTGTCCCAGGCTGGTGGACTAGTTGGTACTGGTGTCCCAGGCTGGTGAACTAGTTGGTACTGGTGTCCCAGGCTGTTGGACTGGTTGGTACTGGTGTCCCAGGCTGGTGGACTAGTTGGTACTGGTGTCCCAGGCTGGTGGACTAGTTGGTACTGGTGTCCCAGGCTGGTGGACTGGTTGGTACTGGTGTCCCAGGCTGGTGGACTGGTTGGTACTGGTGTCCCAGGCTGGTGGACTAGTAGGTACTGGTGTCCCAGGCTGGTGGACTAGTTGGTACTGGTGTCCCAGGCTGTTGGACTGGTTGGTACTGGTGTCCCAGGCTGGTGGACTAGTTGGTACTGGTGTCCCAGGCTGGTGGACTAGTTGGTACTGGTGTCCCAGGCTGGTGGACTAGTTGGTACTGGTGTCCCAGGCTGGTGGACTAGTAGGTACTGGTGTCCCAGGCTGGTGGACTAGTTGGTACTGGTGTCCCAGGCTGGTGGACTAGTTGGTACTGGTGTCCCAGGCTGGTGGACTAGTTGGTACTGGTGTCCCAGGCTGGTGGACTAGTTGGTACTGGTGTCCCAGGCTGGTGGACTAGTTGGTACTGGTGTCCCAGGCTGGTGGACTAGTTGGTACTGGTGTCCCAGGCTGGTGGACTAGTTGGTACTGGTGTCCCAGGCTGTTGGACTGGTTGGTACTGGTGTCCCAGGCTGTTGGACTGGTTGGTATGAAACATTGCTTCACATTGAGTCAAGACTAAGAGGTTTCCCCAGTGAGTGAGTGGAAGGTATCATACATCAGGCTGCGAGCAGCCACGTCTAACAGCCTGGTTGATCAGTCCAGCAACCAGGAGGCCTGGTCGACGACCGGGCCGCGGGGACACTAAGCCCCGGAAGCACCTCAAGGTAGGTAGCTCAAGGTAAGGTGACTCTTGTTCCCCAACAGATGGGGTAAAGTCTTCACTGCCCCTTGAGATTGAGCCAAGACGCGGGCCCGTCGCCTCACACGGCGTCGTAGTCGACTTGGAGGGAGTTGAGGCGTCTTGGGCATGTTGATTGGCAGAGTTCAGGGTGAAATTGCCATCGACCTTCGTTCTCATGCGGCTCTTTGAGGGTTTTTAGGAGATGAAGATAGACTGGGAGGAAGAGAGGAGAGAAAGAATGATGAAAGGTTCCTGATTACTAGAATAACTATTAGTAAAATTTTGGGTGCAACAGCGAGGGACAACTCTTTCAGCAGGCAGCTGTGGCCGGCCGCTGCAACACGCAGCTGTCGCCGGCCGCTGCAACACGCAGGTGTGGCCGGTCGCTGCAACACGCAGCTGTCGCCGGCCGCTGCAACAGGCGACAGCTGCTGCCAAAGACTACATTACAGCAGTCCCCGGGTGAAGGTCTGCAAGCGTGCGACAAATATGTGTGGTTCTATCATGGTTTTACTACCTCCTAAAATGGGGCCGAGGGTGCAATACTGTGGCCGCGGTAACCTCGACCTTGCGCCACCAGGGTGCAAGGACGGAAGTTCCCTGCCTCTAAGGCTAGACTCGGTACCTTCACGTGGTAAAAAATTAGGGACCAAGTTTGGCGCCAAAACTGCATGGGTTGATCGCCGGGGCTTGCTAAAGGAAGAAAATGAGAGCAGGAGGAGGAGTAATTACAGCGGAGACTCTAATATTTCTGGGGGAGACGCTTACGCATCTCTGACCTACAGCTCAAGATCAATTTGGGACCTTGAACATAGTTTGATCAAAGTATGTTATACAGTACGTAGTTTATCCGTAAATCACAAAACATGTTATACAGTACGTAGTTTATCCGTAAATCACAAAATAAAAATATTAAAGTACTCTAGTGTTGTTATTCACGTTCTTCATGTTGTAAAATATATAATACATAATTGTGTTTGATAATATAATAATTGTTTTACTTCAAATATAAATAATTTATTTTTTGGACAATGAATGATGTTAGAGAAGTGGCTTTCGGGGTTCATAGCGGCTATTATATAATATACCTGTTAAAGGCCTTTGGCTTAACACTTCCACTGTCGGTCAACTCTGTCACTTGTTTATAAATCGTAAATTATATGATTTGGTGAATGGAGTTACAAGAAAAAACTAGTATGGCAGGAAGTGTGGATCAGATATGACCGGTAACCAGGTCTTGTGGTCAGAAACCCGACCTCGGGAACACTGATCGCAGGAACCACTTGAAGATATCTTTTAATCTTCCATTCACCTGGGCTGTATGGGTCTCGAACCCTGGACCCCACGTGTGTGAGGGCGACGCTCTATCGACTGGGCTACCTGCTTGATGGGGTTCTGGGAGTTCTTCTACTGCCTAAGCCCGGCCCGAGGCCAGGCTTGACTTGTGAGAGTTTGGTCCACCAGGCTGTTGCTTAGAGCGGCCCGCAGGCCCACATATACCTGCTTGATGGGGTTCTGGGAGTTCTTCTACTGCCCAAGCCCGGCCCGAGGCCAGGCTTGACTTGTGAGAGTTTGGTCCACCAGGCTGTTGCTTGGAGCGGCCCGCAGGCCCACATATACCTGCTTGATGGGGTTCTGGGAGTTCTTCTACTGCCCAAGCCCGGCCCGAGGCCAGGCTTGACTTGTGAGAGTTTGGTCCACCAGGCTGTTGCTTAGAGCGGCCCGCAGGCCCACATATCCACTACAGCCCGGCTGATCCAGCACTTCTTTAAGAAAACTATCTAGCTTTCTCTTGAAGATGTCCGCGGTTGTTCCGGCAATATTTCTTATTCTCGCTGGGAGGACGTTGGACAACCGCGGACCTCTGATGTTTATACAGTGTTTACAGCTATGAATAGTGTTTGTTACCTTTAATCTATTGTGTATTATAATGATTTTATTATATGAACAAATCCACAAGGTCCGTGACGAGGATTCGAACCTGCGTCCGGAAGCATCCCAGAAGCTGCCTTAATCGACTGAGTCGATTAAGGCAGTGTCTGGGATGCTCCCGGACGCAGGTTCGAATCCTCGTCACGGCCCTTGTGGATTTGTTCACTTGATGCATCACGTTAGTGTGATTTCTGTGTAATTTTAATATATGTCAATTAGTTGTGTGTGTATCGTCAATTAACTCTGAGTATAGTAATTCATTCCCCTGTGGCCAACAGATCTCGTGGGTCGCCCCGAGGGCCGCCGTACCTGGGGGAGGAGGAGGCCAAGTCCTGCTGTGGCCTGATGGTAACTCAGGCCGTCAGCATCCGTTGGTTCATCATCATGATCGCCTTCGTGGGCTTGTGCTGCACCGTCGTCGGCACCGTCCTCGGCGCCGTCAAGACCTACAACTCCGAGTACGTCACCATCACGCTCCTCATGATTGGTGAGTCGCTAGTTCTTGGGCCCCGGCTTGGGCGCCTTTGTTTACATAGAGCGGGTGCTTCCGCGCTGCCAGTACACGATTAACAGGAGGGTAGAAATAGCCTAAGTTACTCTATCCCTTTGATATGTATTTCTTTCTTGTCTCACTAAACATACTTGAACTTGAAAAGAGGATTAACACAAGTTATAATTGGTAAGATTTGTGATTGGTTTACAATTATGGAAATAATACTAATATCTATTTAATACCCCATTCAATAATCAGTTAATCATCTCATCTCCATTATTGATATTTAAGCTTTTGGATCTTTTGTCTAGTCCAGTTACGGGCTCACCATAGCCCGTGCTACATGGACATTTCGCTCTGAGTAGCTAAATCTAAAACAACATTTGTCTAGTCAGGTGTAGTCAGGTGTTTGGGACTGTATACAGTCCCAAACTCTTATGTATCTGTCTGTATTTCCTTGATAATGTGTGGAAACCTGAAAACGTTCGCAATTTTCGTTTCATTTTTCTTAGTGGATAATTTTATTTTATATATATATATATATATATATATATATATATATATATATATATATATATATATATATATATATAAACTGAAAACTCACACCCCAGAAGTGACTCGAACCCATACTGCCAGGAGCAACGCAACTGGTATGTACAGGACGCCTTAATCCACTTGACCATCTCGACCGGACATAAGGAGGTGATAACCGAAGCTATTTGAACTACCTCCCCCCCCCCCCGACCGGCACCCGGATGGTAATCTTGGGCATAGCATTTTATCACCTCATTCTTTGGGGCACACGTGAGGAACACAAATGCGTTGCTCCTGGCAGTATGGGTTCGAGTCACTTCTGGGGTGTGAGTTTTCATTTGCATATAGTCCTGGGGACCATTCAGGCTTGTTCGCATTTGTGTTCCTCACGTGTGCCCCAAAGAATGAGGTGATTTGATAAAATGCTATGCCCAAGATTACCATCCGGGTGCCGGCGGGGAAGTGGTTCATATAGCTTCGGCTATCACTTCCCTTTGTCCGGTCGTGATGGTCAAGAGGATTAAGGCGTCGTGTACATACCAGTTGCGTTGTTCCTGGCAGTAAGGGTTCGAGTCACTTCTGGGGTGCGAGTTTTCAGTTGCATATAGTCCTGGGGACCATTCAGGCTTGTTCGCATATATATATATATATATATATATATATATATATATATATATATATATATATATATATATATATATATATATATATATATATATATATATATATATATATATATTAGTATATTTTGGTAGCAGTCTTTCCTGAAGACATATATTATTAAATATGACCGAAAAAGTAAGATTAATAATTCTAACACGAATTTTCTCAATCTTTCGTACATTTCGTTTCACTGTTGGAGGTAAATCAAAAATCAATTCTCCAAAATTCATTTTTATTTCTAGTCTGACGCGACACGAGCGCGTTTCGTAAAACTTATTACATTTTCAAAGACTTTAGTTCACAAATACACAACTGAATAGAACTTACGCATCTCAGATTTTATATCTACATTTGAGTGAGGTGGAAGGGGTGATGTGGCATTAACACAAGACAGAACAAGATGTGGTATTAATAGGGTATTAATTTCATCAACACAAGACAGAACAAGAGTATTAATAGGGTATTAATTTCATCAACACAAGACAGAACAAGAGTATAAATAGGGTATTAATTTCATCAACACAAGACAGAACACGAAACAATGGATATCGAATAGAAGTGTTTGTAGAAAGCCTATTGGTCCATATTTCTTGATGCTTCTATATTGGAGCGGAGTCTTGAGGTAGGTAGAATATAGTTGTGCAATAATTGGCTGTTGATTGCTGGTGTTGACTTCTTGATGTGTAGTGCCTCGCAAACGTCAAGCCGCCTGCTATCGCTGTATCTATTGATGATTTCTGTGTTGTTTACTAGGATTTCTCTGGCGATGGTTTGGTTGTGGGAAGAGATTATATGTTCCTTAATGGAGCCCTGTTGCTTATGCATCGTTAAACGCCTAGAAAGAGATGTTGTTGTCTTGCCTATATACTGGGTTTTTTGGAGCTTACAGTCCCCAAGAGGGCATTTGAAGGCATAGACGACGTTAGTCTCTTTTAAAGCGTTCTGTTTTGTGTCTGGAGAGTTTCTCATGAGTAGGCTGGCCGTTTTTCTGGTTTTATAGTAAATCGTCAGTTGTATCCTCTGATTTTTGTCTGTAGGGATAACGTTTCTATTAACAATATCTTTCAGGACCCTTTCCTCCGTTTTATGAGCTGTGGAAAAGAAGTTCCTGTAAAATAGTCTAATAGGGGGTATAGGTGTTGTGTTAGTTGTCTCTTCAGAGGTTGCATGGCTTTTCACTTTCCTTCTTATGATGACTTCGACGAAACCATTAGAGAAGCCGTTATTGACTAGGACCTGCCTACAACACTCCAACGTTAACAACACTCCTCTTGTACCTGTCTGGGCATATGGACATATGCGTTAACAACACTCCTCTTGTACCTGCCCAGACAGGTACAAGAGGAGTGATGTTAACGCATATGTCGACCGTGCTCTCAGCCACAGCTCAGAATGGAAGCAAGTCGACGAAGAACTCTGTAGGGTAAGGCAGGTCCTAGTCAATAACGGCTTCTCCAATGGTTTCGTCGAAGACATCATAAGAAGGAAAGTGAAAAGCCATGCAACCTCTGAAGAGACAATTATAAGAAATATGGACCAATAGGCTTTCTACAAACACTTCTATTCGATATCCATTGTTTCGTGTTCTGTCTTGTGTTGATGAAATTAATACCCTATTAATACTCTTGTTCTGTCTTGTGTTGATGAAATTAATACCCTATTAATACCACATCTTGTTCTGTCTTGTGTTAATGCCACATCACCCCTTCCACCTCACTCAAATGTAGATATAAAATCTGAGATGCGTAAGTTCTATTCAGTTGTGTATTTGTGAACTAAAGTCTTTGAAAATGTAATAAGTTTTACGAAACGCGCTCGTGTCGCGTCAGACTAGAAATAAAAATGAATTTTGGAGAATTGATTTTTGATTTACCTCCAACAGTGAAACGAAATGTACGAAAGATTGAGAAAATTCGTGTTAGAATTATTAATCTTACTTTTTCGGTCATATTTAATAAATATATATATATATATATATATATATATATATATATATATATATATATATATATATATATATATATATATATATATATATATATATAATATATACATATATGCATACCTTGGAGTTTTTCCGGGGCTTAGCGCCCCCGCGGCCTGGTCGTCGACCAGGCCTCCTGGGTTGCTGGACTGGTCAACCAGGCTGTTGGACCCGGCTGCTCGCAGCCTGACGTATGAATCACAGCCTGGTTGATCAGGTATCCTTTGGAGGTCCATAGACGCGAAAGAATATAGGAAGTTTGCACAGTAGAACAAGGGAGGGTGAGGGGCAATCCTTGAACTAAGAAAGATGGCTTAAAAAGAATCTGAAATTAACATGAGATAAGGTTAGAATGTATGTTGGAGGTGATGGAATGTCACCATGGATACTAAAAGAGGGTGTAGAAGCCCTGTGCATGCCACTTTCTCCAGTGACTTGTTATACACCATAACCAGGAGACTTACCAGAAAGTTGGAAGACAACTCGGGGCCCAATATACAGGCAAAGACATTCAACTACACCGAGCAAAGAGTCGATTCCTAATCCCCGTCAGCACAATTAGGTGAGTACACACACAACAGCGGGGTCCAAGAGCCAGAGCTCGATCCTGCAGGTGAGTACACACATCATCCACTTGGCTACCTCAATACTCTCACGCCTCATACTTTGCTATGTTCAACTCATTCGTTTCTGACCTGGGGTCAGATTCACGAAGCAGTGACGCAAGTACTTACGAACGTGTACATCTTTCCTCAATCTGTGACGGCTTTGGTTACATTTATTAAACAGTTTACAAGCATGAAAACTTGCCAATCAACTGTTGTTATTGTTATAAACAGCCTCCTGGTGCTTCGGAGCTCATTAACTGTTTAATAATTGTAAACAAAGCCGCCAAAGATTGAGAAAAGATGTACAGGTTCGTAAGTGCTTGCGTAACTGCTTCGTGAATCTGGATTCAGGCTTTTAACTCCTCACCTAACTCCAGTGATGTCAACACCGACACTCATTCACTGACATCACCAGTTCAAAACGTGTAAGATGTCATAGTTGGTAACCTCGTCAGTCGTACCTGACCATCCTCCTCCTCCTCCAAGGAACTGTAATAACCTGTCCTGAGGCCCTCACCCTACGACCCTTATCCTTCAAGAGCCTACATCACCCTTGCAAGCATCACAATACCTCTCTTTCACCAGCCAGTAGTCATGCTTGTGACCCCCTTGTGTTGTGATATATCCATTTTGGATGAGTGCAATATGTCTGCCTCCCCTGACCATCCTCTCTCAAGTGTATATATATATATATATGGTGATTCCAGCAGCACCTGTGACAGCCCCGCTCCTGTGCCGGGTAAGTCCACTACGGGCTCACCATAGCCCGTGCTACTTAGAACTTGTTCCCAGTAGCTGAATCTATAACAGCAGCAGCACCCTAGAGTGTTATTAGCGAGGTCAGGCTGGTCATGGGCACATCCTCACCCTGCCTACCCCCCCCCCCCAGGTCACCCTGTTGATGCCCCTATTGCACAGTTGGGTAGTTGAGTTAGAACTGGTAACCCCAAGGTTAGATGAATCTAGCGCGCTAATGACCTTAACAGTCGAGTGCCATACAAATATTGATTAGTCAATATTGAGGTCAAGCCAGGTGTGTGGTTCAGAGGGTCAGGTGTGTGGTTCAGAGGGCCAGGTGTGTGGTTCAGAGGGTCAGGTGTGAGTGTGTGTGTGTGGGGACTGATATTTATCCCGGTGTGTGTGTTGGGGTGAGACAGAGGTCATGACCTCTCCGTAGGGTGCAGCCGCACCTTCACAGATCT